CTTCCTTCTGATTCGGGCAGGATTGCACGATCTTGTTGGCATAGAGTTTGATGCAGGATCGAAAATTCGGCAGGTCGAGATCTCCGAGACAGAGCCCGATTGCCTCGACCTGATTTGGGCCGAACCCTACGGGTCATCATCTCTCCTACCCAACTCTCATCTCCACCGCAGGGGTAAAGAAGACGATGATGACGGCGACGACAATTGAGGATGAAGAAGTGCTGGTGGTGGTGGTGGTATTTCAGGTGGTGATGGGTTGCGGCGGCGACTTGAGGTGCTTCTCGGCCTCGAGGGATCCAGCCAGCGGAGAGGGTGTCGATTGAAGCGTTGATTTCTAGGGATGGATTTTAGGGAAGCTTCGGAGAACAACAATGGAGAAAATAGATTTTAGGGATTTCATGTGGTTATATTGGGGATTTTGTGTTAATTTATTCATTTTCGTTTAGATTTTTTTTTGTTTTTCTTTTTTATTTCCACGTCTGATTTCCACGTCGGAAGATGGGGTAACTCAGTGGCCAACTCAGCGTCAGTCGTTAGTCCAGTCATAACGTCTACTAACACCGTTATTAAAATAGACGGAATTGGCTATTTTGGGTTTTCGAATAAATATGGCTATATTTGTCAAAAGCGTGAAAGTTATGGCTATACAAGTGTATTTTGCCTTTTTTTATAACTTTTCTTTATTTTTGTTTGTTAGTTTATTCATTTTTATGAGAAATAAATATAATAAATAATAAAAATTCCACGTCAGATGCCACATCAGAGCGGTGACTAGACTTTCTGTTAAAAACTAACGGTCAACGCCGGTCAACCATAACGAAAAAATAGTTTGGGACACAAATGTCATATCGAATACTTTAGGACACAAATGACACAAAGTTAATAGTTCGGGTTTCCTAGTGGTATTAGCCCAAAATAAAAATAGAAATAAATTGGAATAACATAAAAGAAAAGATAATAATTTATTTTAATATGCGAGAAATGTCAAAATTCAATCTCTAAAGATGACAAAATGCATATTTGTATATGCACATTACTTTTCTTGTAACTTCTTTTACCAATTGGTCACAGATATATTTAAGGTATATAACCATAATTCGATTTTGAAAAAGATACAAATCTTTTTTTGTGATCATTGGTGATATTTTTAAACACATGAAATTGTCGTCTATCATTTTAACATATGAGTGAACTATGTTTATATATTTAATTATCTTAAGGTATAGGAAAATGACACATGAAAAATTATTATAACTATGTTCTAACTTAGCTAATCATCATTGTTACTACATGATATTATCTCTTAATAATCTAGTAAAAACACACAAAAAAAAATCTAGTACAACGCGATAAGAGTGTATAGTTAAGATATTTTTAGTAGCTCTTTTCTATCGAACTACAACATAACTATATTGGTTCACATATTTATAATAGTTTGTACAAACAAAATGTTAAATTCTTCGTATTTTAGAATACGAAAGAAGGTTATTCTTTGCTTTTTTATTTTTAAATTTTAAAAGAAAATCACATGTCAAATTATGTAAAAGTTTAGAATTTTGTATCGACTAATTTCATGCTTTTTTGGTTCTTTAATTATTTTTTAAAAATTATGAACAAATATCAAACATATTATAAACTAAAAATTAAACATAGGTTATTTGTAGTTGTTAATGATTTTCTATCATTGCTAAAAAATAGAATACAAAATTTTGTCCAATGATAGTTTTTATTGTGTAATGTAAAGAAGTCAACCATTAAATACAAATAGAATATTATGTGTTGTATATTTTTTATAACATGAGTATTAATCTTGTTGTGATTAATTGCATCAAAGAGATTTAATTCTATTGGTCAAACAACTTAAATTATTATAGTTTGAGCTCCTAGGTTGCATGATTAAATCTTAGTTATGGTGATTGATATACATGTTTTGATGTGATTAATAGCATTAAATATACTTTATCCTACTGGTTGAACACTTGAAATGATGATAGTTTAAACTCATAGGTCATAGGTTCAAATCTTGATCATGATGATTGATATACATGCTTATTTAGTTTTATTTTAATGTAATTAATAAATTTTAAATATAAAAATGATAAAATGACATGAAAAATTGTGGAGCTTTCTTTGTCCTACGTGGCAAAAACTTTCTCTACAATGGCCATAATATAAGTTAAGAAGATTCAAACCAAAGCTAAATCCTACACCCTAAATCCTTAACCCTAAAAAATAAACCCTATACCCTAAAAACTAAACCCTAAACCATAAAAAACTATTATTATTTAATGTTCCTTCGGCCCATGGTCCCTCACGGGCAGCTCTAACTAAGGTTGCAAGTCTTATGTGTTAGGACTTTATAGTGTGTTTAATTTGATGGAAGATACAATATTACAATCCTTTCATCGCATATAATATCAGTTCATGCAAAAATAAATATTTATACCGCCCAGACTAAACCGTAAACTCAAACCTTAAACTCTAAATTGAAAACCCGAACCCTAAACCCTAAAACTTAAACTCTAAATTGGTCTAATAAGTTTGGGGTGGTTGAGTTATTTTGGGGTTTGGTAAACATCAGTTGCATGATGGATATTGGTTTGCGAAGGAAGAATACTAGTTCATTTCAACAATGATGCAAAGTAATATCAACACAACACAGAATAATATCGGCTGAAAACAAATAAATACCACATAAACAAACATACATAAATATCACATGACCACGTGGCCCCACAATTTTCGTTCTCTCTTTCCATTCCTCTCCAAAATCTCGCCCAAACTGAAGTTGGCCCACAAAGCCACTTCCTCGGCTCGTCTTCCGCGTCGCACGCTAGGGGCAAGCTTCTACCACAAGCCCATCACCAGCTCACTTAAGTGAGCCACCACGAGCCCGCCTCCCTCCTCCGTTGGATGAAATCTAGGCTAATGTGGCCTCAAATCCGACCCTATTGGTATCTGCTAACGAATCTGTCAGTTAGCATAATAACTTTTTCGTCTACCACTCCCCTGTCAATAGCTCTCTCACCACCACAGGAACTAGATTCCTTACAATTAAGAAGACCAGATAGAACCATCAAACCACAATCTCATTTAATCCAGGACTAAGTACCAGTCAATCAATTATGCCACAAATTTAGGACAACAGGTTTGCTCTTCACCAAAATCCTCGGCACCCTGGATTTCATTACAGTCCTACGTTTGACAATGTAAAAAAAATGAGGATTTTATCAGTCAAGAATTTCGAAAACCTGTGCTGATCATCGTATTTCAAAATACCTGGGCACCCCAACTATTTTAAAATCCGTCACTTTTTTGTCCGCTTATCCCAAAATATCCCCGCTATTTTATATGTCAATCCATTTTTGCCCAGCCACATTGAGACAGTCCGCTTCTCTAGTCTCTATTAGGGTGGCTATACGGTCCGGTTCGGTTAAATTGGTCCAAATTAATCCGTTGCAGTCTGGTCTTTTTGAAAATATAAGAACCAAAGATTGAATTGGATACAGTCCGGTTTTGACCCGGTCCGAGCCCAATTCGGTCTTGATTTTATATTGAGCTTGTGGGGATTTGAGTGGCCTAAGGCCTGGAAGGGTGAGGAGTTTGTTAAGTTTTGTACTAAGTACAAAGGTTTATCACCGTTTATGCAAATTACCCTTAAGTTTTTGGTGTTGAGCTCTATTATCCGGTCTTTATCCAGTTTTTTATCCGATCCGGAACGGTTTTTTACCTCAAATCTAATCCCAAAGATTGGATTTGATTATTTACTATCCGGTCTCTGTCTGAGATACTCTATCCGGTTTCGGGTAAAACCAAAAAAACCGGACCAAATAGCCAGTCCTAGGGGTAATTAGCATAAAAAGTCACAAAACTATTCACTTTGTACAAAACGGTCACAAACCTTTCGTTTTGCACATTTTAGTAACATACGTTTGAGAGAATAACGAAATGGTTATTCCGTCTATCTCCATCCAAAAAACTGTTAGTTTCGTCCAGTCAGCAAACCACGCCACTTAAAATATTAATACAAAAATTGATAACCAAACTCAAATGAACCGGACAGCCATAATTCTATACCCACCAACCCGAAAACCCTTAATCAATAATTAAAAAAGTAATGTCACTAGCAGAAGGGCTCGGTGGACTGAAGTTGGCTTAACCCCAATCCAAACCAACCCTCTGTCTTCTCGTCTCCGCTATTGAAGGCTTAACCTCCCCGACCGCCCATCGTCTCATCGATTGTGGATACCTCCGCCCCGGTCACAGCATCAGCGAGTGTGCCACAACTCAGAATCCGCTTCAACCGGAGGGAGGTACAGCTGAGGGTAGGCGAAGCAGAGGGGTCGGCGAATTAATCGAGGTCGGTTTCTGGGGGTCTCAGAGGTGGCAGAGCTACTGCGGACTTCTTCCTCCTGCTCGAAAATGAATTTGGGAGAGTTCGATTGTTTCTCTCGCCGGATGTTTTGTAATCGTCAGCAGTTTCTTTCTCTCAAAGGGTCGCTGGACGTGTCCCGCGTCGGTCCACTCCTCGGCGCCGACTTCTCCACTGTTTCCTTCCGATCGAGAGTAAGATTGGATTTATAGATTAGAAAGGCAGTATGAGAGGGGAAGGTTGGACTAATGGGATGAATGGGGTTTCCTATTGTTTCGTTTAATCCCCAAGAGAAAAAAGGAATAGAAAAATTGACGAGATGGCGGTGGGGGTTTAGCCTCAATGGCGGAGTCGGCGAAGAGACAAGAATTGGTTTGGTTGGGTTGGGTTGGATTGTGGTGTTGGTTTGGTTAGGGATTTTGGTTTTATGTTTTTTATCAATTCTTTCTAATGAGGTAGCTGACTAGGACCAGACTCACAGAATTTTTGACGGAGATTAACGGAAGTGACCATTTTGTACAAATTCAAACTTTTATTACCATTTCGTTATAAATTAAAGGTTTGTGACCATTTTGTACAAAGTGAATAGATTTGTGACCGTTTATGATAACTACCCCCAGTCCTAGTCTCTACTTCGGCTCTCTCAGTTGTCAAAGACGAAAAATACTTCGCTTCTCTCCAACTGAACTGAAGCGACGGACGACCAAGAATCGCAGTCCAACTCTTCAACCGACGGAAGGCCAGTAGGGAGGACGAGTCCAGCCCTAGTGACGATCGCCTGCAAGTACATCGGCGAGAGAGTTCCAGGTTAGTTTTCTCGTCTTGTGATGGGGATTAATGGGTTTTAGGTTTCCAATTTTCGGGATGGTTATGGTCTGATTACTGGGTTTTTGGGGCTTGCGTTCTTTCTGTATGAGGTTGCGGAACATGGCTTTAGGGATTTCGCAGGCTGGGGGTTTGAGGTTACTGTGTTTGTTACATTTTTGGGATTTTGTTCCGATGAGTGCCCCATGTTTGGTTTTCCCTTGGTTCTGATGAGTGCCATTGTATGTGAATGGATGGAATATTTTATTTGGTCTATGCTTCACGTTTTGGTGTGCTTTGTGTATGGATTTTTAGGTTTTGATTATAGTTTGTGGTTGCTATCGAGGCTGGTTAGATAAGGACCTGATTAGATTGATATTATGCGGATGTTTGATAACTTGTATATATACTGTGGTTGCTGTCAAGGCTGGTTAGAGTAATAAAATTGCAGTTTTATGTATTTGAAAAAGGATGTCAATGCTGTCGTTGATATCTTCAAGGGAAAGGCACAAGATGATCGCTGCAATTGGCGTGTTTTGGAACCTTATAGTAATATATGTTGAGTTACAAATGTAGGTAACACGGCTATTGGAGCTGAAACAGTTAAACCCTACAATTGGTAGGCAACCTCTGGATGGTTACATGGTGAGACACTGATAGGCAGAGGGAGATTCATTGATGCATGATAAGTAGTGACACTGAGAGTCATGGAAAAATAAGGATGATCTGTAGCTTATTCAAGAAGTTGTGTGACCTATTAGTTGCAGAGGGACAGTTGAAAAGGACGAGAAATGTTGACATAGATGAAATGGTTCTCACCTTTTTACTCACTATTTCCCATAAAAAAAATATAGGAGTATAGCTGTAGATCTGCGTCAGTCTACAGAAACCATCTTCGATCCTTTCACTACTTGTTGAGGGCAATCCTTAGACTGAAGGACAAAGATAGGGACCTGATTACTTTCTATGGGCTGGAGGACTATGACAACGAGTTCTTGTTCATGATGGGCTTGATTCGTTGAATGGGGTATTAGGAAGGACTGTATCAACCTCGCATTTGATGCAGCTCCAACACTTCCTCTCAACTCATCCTTCAATGTCATGCTCACAGCTGCTCAAGTGCCTTCCCCCATTGAGCTGCTAGTAGCACCACCACCAGCAATGTTTCCTCAATTTGCATTTTCCTCTCAATCTTCTCTCTGTATCCTTTCTCTCTAATTAGCAGGACCATTTCTCCGTTGTCTAATCTAAAGCGGGAATTTATTCCGTGATTATTATCTCTCTTACCCGTTTCCTTTTTTCTTATGGCAGCTTCTTCGTTGTAGTAAATTGAATTGACTGCAGATTATGGGTGAGGACTGAGCAGCTTGCTTTCTTCGTTTTTGCAGCTCCTTTTTCCGTTCCTTTCGACTTGTTTCTGTTGGAAATCTGTAATTCCAATTCTTTGTGTTGTTGCTACTACAGAGAGGCAAAATGGAGAGAAGTCACGACGAGAGAAGCGTAAAGAAGCTAGAAAGGAGATGAAACAGAGAAAAAATGAATCTTGGTTGGCACATCAGGTACATTGCTTTTGGTTGCTACGTGGTTTGGCTGAGAAATTAGGGTGTGGGTATCTCCTGTAATGCTTAGTCCAATGTCCGGTTGTGCAGAAATCGAAAGGCCTCAAGAAAGCTGAGCAATTAAAGACAAAGTCGGCGAAATCAAATAAATCAGAGGCGAAGAGTTTGAAAGAGAGATCAGGTGGAAAGGTAGCTCCTAACTTGTTGATTGAACGGGATTTACAGAGAAAGAGTACGAAAGGGAAGGTGAAAGATTCTGTTGTTGCTCGAGGGAATGTAAAAGAAAAAGATAGTTTGAAGAGAAAATCACAAACAGGGTTTGAAGAGTTTCTTCAAATAGAGATGCAAAATAAGGAATTGTTGGCACATGAAGATTTGGAAGTTGAGAAAAGGCTTGCTAAGAAACTTAAGGTCAAGGATAAAATGCTGAGGGGCATGGATGATGGTCTTAATGATCTTCTCGGAGGCATGCCATCTGCATTTGAATCTTTCAATGAAGAAGATGTCTCAGATGGTGAAGCTTACTTCAATGAGAATATAGAGGATGGTAGTTCTGCCAGCGAAGGTCAAGAAGATATGTCCTCTGCAGAAGATACAGAAGATACCCACTCTGAAGATGTTGCAGAATCTGATATGTCGGAACCAGTAGACAACGAGGTGGAACATGAAGAAACTGGCTCTGAGATATCTTCACGTAAGAGACGCAGGAGGAGAAAGAAATCAAAGCAGAGCCAAGAAGGTGATATGCCAAGTAACACATCAAATAGAGATTCCGGTGTAGAAGCAGTTGACGTAGGGGGTGAACTGAAGGAGGCTGTTGATGTCTCTGCACCACTGGTTGGTGTGAAGTATATTGCTCCCCATTTGAGATCTCGAGCTGGAGATGAGTCTGAAGATCATACCCAAATCCGAAGACGAGTTCGCGGTACGAAGTTGAGCTTTTCTTTTCCTTGGTAAGTTGTTGCTTATGTGCTTTGTATCCCACATGGGTCTAATCTGATGACTTGTTCCAGGTCTACTGAACAGGTTGTCTGAGTTCAATATAGAATCCATTACTGGGGAAATGGCTACGATATTTAGAGTATGTCCATCCTTGTTATTTTGTTTGATTGCTTTTCCACATATATATCACATGTTTGAATCACATCAGTAGAATGGTTCTTATTTTAGTCGGTGGTAATTTAAGTTCTCAATGTTTTGTCCATGGAGACGTCCCTGATAACAGTTCCTAGAGTAATAACTTCAACTCTTCGATTTTGCGTTTTCCAGTCTCTCAGCCGCAGTGTTAGTACTCAAATTATCAGTGGCGAGGTGTTGGCTGCGTGTTCTGGTGGCCCCCGTGGCAATGAACAGTGAGCTTATGTTTCCTCTTTTTCCTTAATGTTCATTATGTGTGATATTGTAGAGCCTTGTTCATTCTTTGTTCCTATTCAGCACTTTTGACAGAGCTGCTTTTGTGCCCCATCCCCCTCTTCTCCCCTCTTCTTGTCTTTGAAGGTACGCTGCTGTTTTTGCCGCATTTGTTGCAGGCATGGCCTATTCTGTCGGGCAGGATTTTGGTGCAAAACTCATGGCTTCACTCGCTACGTCTTTTGAGGTTGCATCTTACACTTTAGATGGAGCTACATTGTTACTGTTCTAATGTTTGTCTCTGATGGTTCCCTTAATTACCTAAGTGGTTTGAGCATTGAAGTTTTATTTCGAGGATTCACTTCTCTTACTGCTAGAGATCTAACATGGTAAATGATGTTGTTCTGGTTGCAGGACGAGTACCGTAAAGAAGACAATCTTTCTTTGAGAAACCTCACTCTATTGCTCTCCTATTTATACATTTTTGGAGTTTGCTCAAGGTGAGTTGTAGACTGGTTCTAAGATAAACATAATAGAACTTGGTTGGCTATAATTAAATAAGAAAGATAACTGTGTCACTTTTAAGGAAGTATATTCTACAGTAGTTGTTCAGATGACTGTGTTAATTAACGCTATGTTTGGCAACGAGGGGGGTGCAAGTTGAGGGGTAAATTATAGGAGGGAACAAATTGTAAATGGGTGTAAATGGTGGTGCAAATTGTTGTTTGGGAGATAAAGGGGGTGCAAATGATAGGGGTAAAATATAAATATCAATATAATAATTATTATAAATAAAAAAGAAAAAACACAACAAATAAAAAATATTCAAAACCCACCCATTTTCCCACGTTCCCACTCATCATGGCCCACCACTCTCTGATAACCCACCACTTTTCTACATTTCCCATCTAATATAATAAGCAACCTCCACTTCTTCCCATCTTTGCACCCCAATTTGGGGAGGAAGGTAGAATAGTGAACTTGCCCCTACTTTATCAACCCCTAGCACTATTCAATTCTAACCAAACGAGTGCAATTATCTCGGGAATACCATTTACCCCTTATAATATGCACCCCCCTATACTTGCACCTCCTCCCAAACAAAGTAAGGCATGGGATAGGTCACCGAGTTTGGACAAGTTCAATTATAAAAGTCAAGTGTAATGCATGTGTGCATGCTACTCTCTCTTCAGTCGTTGTAGCTGGCTTCTCCATCCAAGATTGAGAAGGTGCTTCTAAGGGCAAATATAAACTAGTTATATAGACTCGAAAATTGAGATGAACTAGTTGCAAGCACCTGTTGTTTTAATATACTTATGGCCAAATATGCTCTGACACATTGCCTTTGTACCCCCATTGTTTCAGTGATTTGATATACGACTTTTTGATCATGTTGAGCAAGCGGTTGACAGAGGTTGATGTTTCCACCATCTTGACTGTTTTGCAATGTAAATTCCTTCCCTCTTTAGCTTGTCTCAGATGTTCGCTATGGACTTTCATTACTTGTTAATGTCTCAAGTGTTTGACTTCACAGTCCATGAAAGCCTGTTACTAGTCAGTTTTAACTTCTAATAGATGCATGTGTTAGACTGTAGTAGTTGTTGGACATATTTGACCACTGTCGAGCTTCAAGTTCGGTTTTGTAGCTAGTGGACATCATATTCCCCCAAATCACCCTGCATATGTCTCATTGTGGTCTTGGTGATGCTATAATGCTTTTGTTATTGGAGCATTTTCCAAATGCCTAAGTTCTGTTCACTGTCTATGTAGGCTGTGGGATGAAAATAAGAGGAGATGACCCTGCTGTCATGAAAAACTTCATTCAGACTGTTCAGAATAGGGTTCATGAGCTGAAGGCTTCATCGAGTGAAGAACAGGAAAAAATCAATGGCAAAAGGGTGAGTTTTAGTGGCTGAAAATATCTTTTGACAACTTCAATGCAGCATCCCTACTGGTTTAAAGCCTTAACTGAAACTTTTGCAGATGGAATTCATGCTTGAAACCATATGTGACATAAAAAATAACAAGAAGAGGTCTCATGGAGAAACTTCAGAACACACCCGGATCAAGAAGTGGCTGCAAAAGGTCTTTCGCTTTTCTCTATTCATTTCCACCGGTTTGTTCAATACTGTTTTTACATGTAACTGTGTTCTTCGCCAAATATGCAATCTTAATTATTTAGGATTGGTAACCAACGTAGGCATATACGTTTTCATTCAGCAAGAACTTTTGTTTTGTGAATATAGAATTCTTGTCATGAAATCGTATGGCACATGTTTAATATGCTTAAGCATTTCTTACGTTTGTAGTTGAGCGCTGAAGACATCTTGCTTCGAGGACTTAAATGGAGCAAGCTGCTTGATCCTCACAAGAAGGGTCAGTGGTGGTTGTCCGGTGATCTTGCTGGTAAAGCTGATGATGCTGAAAAAGTTGCAAATACAATTGACAAAGAGGTGCTGGAGGCTCAAAGCATGCTGCAGCTTGCCGCTGCTCAGAGGATGAATACTGATACAAGAAAGGCAATCTTCTGTATCATAATGAGTGGAGAGGATTATGTGGATGCCTTTGAGAAGCTTCTGAGATTAGATCTGCCGGGGAAGCAGGTTCGTTTTTTCCAACTTCCTTGCTGCTGCAATTATTCTTCCTGTCCAAGCTTTATACTGTAACTGTGTCGAACTGCTCCTACTTGCATCAACAGGACAGGGAGATTATGCGGGTCCTCGTTGAGTGCTGTTTACAGGAGAAAGTCTTTAACAAGTACTACACTGTTTTGGCTTCCAAACTGTGTGAACATGAAAAGAACCACAAGTTCACATTGCAGGTATCTTCATTTCTTTTTCCTTCTTGCACATCCTTCTATGGACAAAATGAATACAGTGAACTGAGAACTTTCGTGAACTACTAGGCTAGAATTTGAATTCACCATAACACTCACACAATGTGTCCCCGGAATCAGGTCATTTATACAATTCACTTATTCGAAACACAGGTATTCTTAAATATAAACATGCTACCAATCACCAGTTTTCAATGACCCTTAAGACTTTGTTGTGTATTGCCAATTCAACAGTTTTGCATTAGAGACCACTTCAAAGAGCTGGAATCGATGTCGCTTCAGAGGTCAATGCACCTAGCCAAGTTTGTAGCAGAGATGGTTACTTCTTTCGTGCTCTCCCTTTCAGTGGTCAAGACCATTGACTTTGACGACGTCGCACAGCTAACCCCCAAAAGGGTCATGCATTTCCGGATCTTGTTTGAGTCGATATTCGAGTACCCCGGTAATACCGTTTGGAACACTTTCACTCGCTTAGCAGGCGATGAAGAGCTGGAACCACTTCGTGGAGGAATGGAGTTCTTCATCAGGGAGTATGTTGTGAAACCTAACAAGGCCCTTGCTAGCAAATTCAAACTTGCCAAAAGGGCCCTCAATAATGTGGAAAGGGTTCTCATGTGAGTCTCCGGCATTAGGCTTTTGTTCTGTTCATGTTCGGCTGCGCTGTTGCGGCGAAGATGAAATTTTTTGTAGCGTCAGAGTTGCGAATTTCGTGGAAATCGGAATCGTTGACCTTTTTTTGTGCAAGTCATTATGTAATGCAATACGATAATTCAATATTCATGGTTGTGCCGGTTTTAATAAAATAGGGTTTTTTCTAATAATAGCACCTTTAAAAAAATTACAAAAATAGCATCCAGCCCACAACATTTACAAAAATAGCACCATTTTTATCAAACCGTACCTTAGAGGTGCATTTTAGTCCACGTCAGACTGGAAACCGCACCTTGGATGTGCGGTCTGTGTTTGGTGGGCAGCGGCCTTGGAGACCGCAGGATGAGGAAGCGATCCAGTGGCAGACCGCTTGCCACCTCAGCAATCCTTGCCACGGATCGAAGACCGCAGTGCCAGGGAGCGGTCAAGCTTCGGGAATTGTAAACCGCCTCGGTAGGGTGCGGTTTGACCTGGCGGTCTGATGGGTATAAATACCCCCTCCCCCCTCTCATTTTTTCACACCACAACCATTCTCCACTCTCTCTCTCTAGAATTAGTCTCTCTAACCCCTTCCCTCCCAAAAGCCTAGGAAATAGTGGTCTGTTGGTTGCGGCTAAGTCCGGTCTGCCATCAGAAAACATTTCTTTGGTTTTTCCCTCAAAACCCGCCGAATTTTTGTCCGACTTTCGCGAGAAAATGGACGAGTGGTTCCAAGGAGAGGGAGTTTATTATGATGAATTTCAAGCGGTACGTACTTATTATTTTGGTCAATTTTTGTTTTTGTTATAAGCTTTTTAATTATCTATGTACTAACCTTGTTGTTATTCTCTCGTAGGTTGGGGACGACGTGAATATATACAACCAACGGTACTATTTGGATCAAGGGCCTATTGATCCGACCGACTTGTATGACCAACCCAACCATCGTTAAGGGATGTTTGGAACGATCACCCGGTACATACAATTCTTCATCATTTATCTTTCTTTTATTTTGCTAATGCACTTAGTGGAATATAAAATAAATTTGAAATAATTTAATCGTATTGGTTGTTTTCAATAATTTAATCGAATACATAGCGCCACTTACTTCGACTCTTTATAAAGAGATGCACGTCTAAGGAAATGGGGTTTTAAGCGATTATCATGATCCTCCCATTTTCTGGAAAATCGGGTATTAAGAGATCCTCGGATCCCCCCTTTTTCTGTCAAAAAGGTTGCGTTTCTAAGAAAATGTATACATCTTCTAAGAGTCTAACGAGTGTTGCATTGTATTCGATTAAATTATTTAAAACAACCAATACTATTAAATTACTTACCAAACAACCAATACGAGTTATGTTTATGTGTACTTAAATGAATTTTATTAATGTCAAATGTTTGAATATGTATGTATCTCTTTAAATTATTATTCATTTAGAATGTTATTTATGTCAATTAATTTAGTATTTTTTTTATTATAATATGTATATATCTTGGAAAAAACCGCAAATTACTTAAATTTGATTGTTAATAATATAATTATAATAGAATTATATTCGAAATTAAATCATTAATTTTAATTAATTTAGTTATAAGACTAAACTATTACTAATATATCATAAATAACTTTAATAATGGTTGAAATTAAATAATTAACGTTAATTTATTTAGTTATAAGACTAAACTGTTACTAATATATCATAAATAAAGTTGAAATTTTTGCTAGGAGGCACAACAAATACTCCGCTACAGGGGTACGATGTGCTCCCATGGAACCCAGTTATCTTGCCCTATCTCAAAAGGGCACGGTTGGAGTCGATTAGGCATTTTGTAGGAATTAAAGTCGATCGCCAACTCATCACCGCATTGGTGGAGAGATGGAGAAAGGAGACGCATTGTTTCAACTTTCGCGAAGGAGAGTGCACCATCACACTCAAGGACGTCGCCATCCTAACTCATCTGCCTATCGACGGCAAAGCGGTGTGTGTGAGTGATCATCCCCCCGAGGATCGTGACGGTATGACCGGTTGGCAGTATTTCATCCATAGTGTTTTGGGGGTGAAAGTACCAACCAAGGGGAGCGTTGATGCGACGGATCGCTTGCCACCATTGAGGAAAGGCCAAGTATCAATCACTTGGTTGGCAAAGTATTTTAGGGACCATCACGATCCTGAAAAAGATGGGGTGCCCCTAACCGAGGAAAGTCCGGAGCTGGAGAAGGAAAGATATGCTCGTGTCTATCTCATAGGCATGATAGGAGGAGTCATCTCCACAATGGCAGAGATTGACGAACTATCCATTCGTTTTCCAGAAAGATATCTCCACAATGGCAGAGATTGGCAGCGTCGTACACCCTTATAGGCAGAATTGATACTCTCTGATGAGTTCGTTGTGGCCATACCCCATCTTGTACCTCCGTCTTTATGAATGTCCACATGGATAGGTCATGTCCATCCAGCCACTGTGCCCCTTCAGGGCATAACTCCCGCATCTTCTGCAACTTCTCCTGGAATTTTTTCTCCTGGTATGCAACAGCTGAGGTAATCACAATCAAGTATTACGTTAGTAATAATTCGGCAATTTATTACAATTCGAACAACAAGCAGGTACTCTCGTTAACTCTTAGAAGAGGTTTACTTCTCCTAGAAATGCAACCTTTTTGACAGAAAAGGGGGGATCCGAGGATCGCTTAAAACCCGATTTTCCCAGGAAATGGGAGGACTATGATAATCGCTTAAAATCCCATTTCCTTAGGCATGCATCTCTTTAGAAAGAGTCTAACAAGTGTACCATTTATTTGATATAAGATATTGTTCTTCTCCAAAATTAAAGCACCAATAGAGAGCTTACCAATCCACCACAAATTATCAGCAAGCTTTTTCAGCTTGAGCTGATGGTTCCAGTTGCTCTTGAAGTGTCGTATGCACCACCTTTGGGACCATTTCCAGGCTGGATCCAAACCTAAGATGGCAGCTCTAATCCCGGCGTGGCATTCAGAGATTATTGTCAGGTTCGTCCTCCTAGTGACGTGGAGCCGAATTTGACGGAAAAACCATCCATAGCTATCAGTATTCTCTCCCTCAACAATGACGAAGGCTAACGGAAAGACTTGTTTGTTTGCATCCGCCCCACTGGCAATCAGTAGAGTGCCCTTTACTTGCCGGTAAGGAATGTACCATCAACTTGGATCATAGGGACACATAAGCCAAAACCGTCAATAGATGGCTTGAATGCCCAAAAAAGTCGTCTGAAATGTCGTTTGTTACATGGCTCTGGCGGTTGTACCTCTTCATCTTAGTATCGAGGGGAGAAAACAGTGTCAGGGTTAGACGCCTCCAGTGCCAAAATCAACCTTGGAAGGTTTGCATATGATTCTTTCCAATCACCATATCCCGCGGCCAGAGCTTTCTGCTTTCATTGTCACGCCTTCTTATAGTTAATCATATAACCATAACGACTTGCAATGTCAGCGATTATGACTTTCACCTTCAGGTCAGGATCTTGCTCCATTAGATGCTTGATAGCCGCAGCAACCACCCTGGATTTCAATTGTCGATGGCCTTGGGATGTTATGGATGACACATATGTGTGTGTGTTCACCACACGGGATATGACCCAATGGTCGTGTCTCTTGCTGTTGATGGCCCGAATCCTAACATTGCATCCCTCGTTATGATTACGGCATCTGACTATGAGCTTTTCGTGTTGGAATGAGTTGTGTGCCATTCAAAATGCCGAGTCATTGCTTCAGTATCAATGGCGTGCCGTGCCTCCTTTTTTTAGCCAAATTGTTGGCCCTTCATAAACCCAGTGAATGGACCCCATATTGGAACCTCCGGCGGTTCCATGTCGCTGTCGACCATCCAATTGTCGTATGAAATGTGATTGTAGTAGGGGACTGGTACACAGTCATGAGCCACCTCATCCTCATTATCTGAGTCTGACTCTGGTCCTGAATCATCAGCACCTTCAAGAGGATCAGAGCTGTCTACACTGACGTTGTTCTCTCCTTCTTCATCGGAGGGGTCACTGACTGGTGCTGGCAGGGCATCTTCCATCTGATCCAGCTCATGAAAGGCACATTCATCAGCTCCATAATGGTAGTTGTGAAAACTACCACTGCCTGATTGGAAGTTGTACTGGGGTTGGTTGGCATGGTCCGGTTGAACTTCTTCTTCATATGACGGGTAAGATTGATGATGACCTTCACCTTGCTCTTGGTACTGAAAATAGGAATGAGGATCATGGTAACTTTGGTAGAGATGATCTCCATATAATTCACCTCCACCATGGATACTAGATGTTTGACCATCTCCAGAATGACCTCCAATGCCTACGAACGGCTCGGTGTAAACGAACATCTCGGCTTTGGAAAGATTGTTGGACCTCAAGAATTCGAGCATGGCATCTACCTCATCCTGAGTGGTTATGAGATATTCCTCGTGCCACAACGACCCGCCTTCTCTGTTTGGATATCGGTACACCATACAATCAACTCTTCTTGTGCCATCCATGCAAGTAACGTTAGTACACATTTGATAGAGATCTTCAAGCATCGGTCTGGTAGCGACCTTTATTTTCTGAAAATTGCCACCGACGTAGGTGACCCCCTTTCCGTTCTCTTCCGTGTAACCATTCCACCGTAAACCAAGCGTGAACTTTTGAAATGCCATATGAAAAAAAAACAGTAGTTCAACTAATTTCATAAAAATCACAATTCACAATTCACAATAAAAAGTAATAGAAATTAAACTTACGAGTTAACGTTAACCGCAAAAACACTAGAGAAATAGGGAGCTACAATATAGAAAATTGAAAAGGGAGAAGGAGAGGTGTGAAGAGAAGAATATTTCCCGGGCTGCCTTTTATAGGCAAAATCATCAATGAAAACCGCACCTTAGAGGTGCGTTTTTCATCTGCCATGCAGCCCCACGCCTGTGAATCTGCATGGCCGCATGTCTGGTGTCGGAAAATAATTGACACACAAACCGCATTGGGGGGGTGCGGTTTGTGTTTTCAAAACCGCACCTTGAGGGTGCGGTTTGTTTTGGAGAAGCAAAACCGCACCCCCAAAGTGCGGTTTTGCTAGGTCAGGCCTAGACCGGATCTGGGCCATGCGGTTTGGTTAGGTCAGACCGCAAATAGCATGGCCAAGATGCGGTTTTGGCCCAGAAAACTAAAACGCACCCCAAGGTGCGGTTTAATGACAAAACGCACCTGGGGGTGCGGTTTACATGCAAAACGCACCTGGGAGGTGCGGTTTTTAAAAAAGGGTGTTATTTTTGTAATTTCTACAGAATGGGTGCTATATTTATAAAAAAAATTAAAGGTGCTATTTCTGGAAAAATCCCAATAAAATACATGAGGAAAATGGAAATCCTCAATTCCAAATAAATTAGTCATGAAAAAGCAATTAGAAGAATTATTTCACACATATTAATTTATAGCTAAGAATTGGTAACTAATACTAAACAATTACATGCTTAAAAATAAAATTTTATTAAATAAATTTTATTAATGTTTATAATGATTTGTGTAAAAGTTAGTATTAGATATATAATATATAAGGTTAATATAGACAACAAAATTGCTTGTAGCCTATTGGTGTATAAGTTAAACTAAAATGAACATGAGGTACTTGGTTCAAATCCTATGAAGGATTTTTATTTTTGGATATAATGTGTGTAACATTAAATTTTGGTTCCTGGTCTAACCTGCCGAAATTTTCGGATCTGACTGGCATTGACCGGATTTGACCACAGTTAAATACCAGCCCCTTTCTAGCCGGTTTGCTGACCGGTACTGGTTGAACCCGGTTGAACCGGCTGGCATGAAATCGGTTTGACAACCATGCTCGTTACTCATCAGCAACTCTAAAATTAGGTTAGAACACGACAACCCCGGCCAACCACCCGCATGTTGATAAGGACTAAATGCAACCCAAATAAAGGGGAGCAGATCAGGTCAGTAACCCTTATAGTGAGTAACCATCAGTAACATGTCCACATCCGCATGACATCAACATCCCCTCTCTCATGGAAAGTCTTTTATCTTTTCCCCTTTAATATTTAACGAACGATTTCTCTCTCGTTTTAAGTCGAAATTTAAATTTTTTTGCACAGATAAATCAGATTAAATGTGCTCTTTAAAATGATATCCACTTTGATATATTTTTAGTACAAAAAAAATTGAATACTTTTTTACCAGTCATTACCACATGGTATGCTCATATTTAATACCATATGGTAAGTAAACGTACCATGATGGTATGAACATACCACTATGGTAAGAAGGTTGAATACATGATAGTAGGAGTATACTAACTGTCATTTACGACTTTCATCATTGTTTACCATAAGTTACCACCCACATACCATAGTGGTAAAGCTAAAGTATGGTAATTTTTGGTCCAGTAGTTTTTTCACCCAGAAATTTGTAGATTCAATAGATCATGATGAACTCGTTCCTTTTGAGCAAACGTTTTCAAAAACGACTTAAAAACGAAGAAGTTATCATATGGTATGTAGTTGGTAAAAAAAAAGTTTCTCGAAATATATTGAAAATTGATATCATTTTGTAGAGCACAACGAACTCATTCCATGTGTGCAAAAAAAAATTAAAATCCGAGTTAAAACGAAGAAGATATGAGCCGATTATGAAAACTAAGGAAAATAAAATGTCTTTAATTGACAACCCTTAGATCTGGATTTTCTGGGTCCACTTAGATCTAAAGGTCCAGATTTAGTTACGCATAGGTTAGTAACCAATGGTTACTCACCCTATCCTAAGCCCAAATAAAGCGGCTCAAGATAGGGTGAGTAACCTTAGGGTGAGTAACAATGAGTAACCAAATCTGGACCCTTCTTTTAAGTGCTTGCAGATCTAAGGGTGGAGAATTAAAGGAATTTATTTTCCCTAGTTTTCTTAATTGGATCATATCTTCTTCATTCTAACTCGGATTTCGATTTTTTTTTTTTTTTTGCACAGATGGAACGAGTTCGTTGTGCTTTACAAAATGGTATCCATTTTCAATATTTTTTGAGAAATTTTTTTTTCATCTCTCTCGTTACCAACTCCATACCATATGGTATCTCCTTCGTTGTTTAGTCATTTTCGGAAATTTGTGCACAAAAGGAACGATTTAATCATGATCTATTGGATTTCAAAATTTTCTGGGGGAAAAAATTTCAAACCTCTCGTTACCAACTCCATACCATACTATACCACTCTGGTATGAGGTGATATTTTTCATACCATATGGTATGCTGTTATTTAATACCATATGGTATTGACTGGTATTTTCATACCATATGATATGTTGTTATTTAATACTAGTCAATACTATATGGTATAGACTGGTAATAACTGACAAATTTTTTTTGTTCCGAAAAATATCAAAGTGGATATCATTTTGAAAAGCATAATTAATATGATCTAACTGTGCAAAAAAAATTAAATTTTGAGTTAAAACGAGTGAGAAATCGTCTGTTAAAGATTAAGGAAAAGAAAATTAATGATTTTTCCAGGAGAGAGAAGGAGGCGCTGATGTGGCAAATTCTTATTGGGTTATGCATGGGGCTACTCACCACAAGGTTACTCACCGGATTTGTTCCCAAATAAAGTCGTCCGTCATTAATTCGGTTCAAACTGGTTTAAGTAGTAAGCGGATGTCGGATGGTTAATGGAATCGATGTGTTATTGTATATATAACTGAATCAATGTTCAAGGTTGGACTGACTGATAAGTTTAATTAGTATGATTCTGAAAACTTATCGATTAATTAGTTCGATCAAATGGAACTGGTTAATACCACTACCTAATGGTATCAAATTTAAATATTTTGTAAATTGTCAAAGTAAGGAAGCCTGGCATCATAGTTAAGTTAGGAATAGGTTTCATTTGCGAGGGTAAGAATTTAAGCATAATAAATCCATGTATTATCTCTAGAAAATAGTATTAGGTCCATGGAACTATCTGTTTTTCCTAAAAATATATTGGGTTAAAACAATATATTAGCCATAACTATTAAGTTCCGGAGAATTATAGTCTCAACTATCGAAATACAAATTATTAATTAATTAATTAAAAAATGAAAGGAACAAAATAAATGGTGCGGTTAGGCCTGTTAATCGGTTGGCGGTTAGTCGGTTAACCTAAAAACCGAACCGATAAAGTCGGTTAAGCGGTTAACCGTAACCGATAATATCTATGCCGGTTGCGGTGTCGGTGGGAGGTTTTGTCTATATTGGCTAACCGATCGGTGTCGGTTGCTAACCGATAAATATATCGGTGCACCGTTACAACCGAGATTACCCACCAACAGCGAGTTGCCTCTTACCTTCCCCATCCCCAATCGTGGATTCTTCCTCTGCCGCCTCCTCTCTCAACTCTCAACTTCTCTTCTGTCATTCCCAATTCACAATCTATGCCTAAAATTGAGCAATCAACACATCCAATCCAAGCTACCCTTTCTGAATCTCACGCCATCCCTCTCTCTCTCCTATATCAATTGAAATCAAGGCAGAATGAAGCTTTGTTAATCGATTGTTCCTCGTCGTCCGCCACCTCCGCCGTGCACAAGTTGAAATCATTGCCCAGCTACCGATTCCAAATCTCCGCTTCGCAGTTGCCAAAGACAATACCATGCACGATTTCATCTCTTCCCCCAAACATGCCAGGTTTTCCCCAAAACGACCCACTCGCCGATTCCCTCCCGAGTTCAAAACCCTTACCCTCTCCGGCGTCCCCGCCGCCAGCCGTCATCATCACCCTGCCTAGCGTCCCCACCGGCGCCTTCGTCCTCCTGCTCCCAATCTCAGTAATCATCGACTGTCACGCCTTCGTCGGCCGTCGCCATCGTCGCACCACCTGCCTTCGTCCTCCCTTGCCCCGTGATCCCGTCGGTTTCAGCTAACCGCGACACCGACCCGAAACCGACGATGGCGGTTTTCGGCTAACCGACAAGGCAATCGGTGTCGGTGGCGGTTGTGGTTTTCCAATGCTTATCGGTCGCGGTTAACCGCGGTTGCGGTTCGGTTAAAACCGAAACCGCACCGCTATCAGCCCTAGGTGCGGTGGTGTCGCTCACTCATCTTCCTCCGCCCAGATCGGCAGCGCTTTCCTCCTCCACGCCATGGCCACCGACCAGACACGACTCTACATCCACTCCCCCATCGTCGTCTTTGTCGTCTCCACAGCATCCCCTCCTCCTTGTCGTCGAGCACCGCCGCACCACAATCCTTCTCCTTCCGCTCCCTCTGCCTTCCCCCTTTTTTTGTTTTTTTTTTTTTGTTTGCAGGTCCGATTCTCCACCGCAGCATAATCCCACAGCAGTTCCAGCGCTGAAGTTGCAGTTGGAGGAGAGATTTGCAGCTGGGGGTTTCAATTGATGGGTTTAGGGTTGGATTTTCTGGGAAGGGTTTTGGGGGAAAGAGAAGGGAGCCACCAGAAGACGGGAAGGGATCAGATCAGTAACCTTATGGTGAGTAATCATGAGTAACCCGTCCACATCAGCATGACATCAGCATCCTCTCTCTCATGAAAAGCCTTTAATTTTTCCCTCTTTAATCTTTGACGGACGATTTCTCGCTCATTTTAAGTCGAAATTTAATTTTTTTTGCACAGTTAGATCAGATTAATTGTGCTCTTCAAAATGATATCCACTTTAATATATTTTTCGAACAAAAAAAATTGAGCCATTTTTTACCAGCCTATACCATATAGTATTGACTGGTATTGAAATAAAAGCATACCTATGTTTTGAAAAACGTACCATGGTGGTATGAACAAACCAATACTGTAGGATGGTTGAATACATGATAGTAGAAGTATATTAATTGTAATTTACGACTTTTAACATTGTATACCACACAATACCACCCCGTACCAGGGTGGTATTGTATGGTATTGTGTGGTATTTTTTGGTCCTGTAATTTGTTCACCCAGAAAATTGTAGATCCAATAGATCATGATGAACTCGTCCCTTCTGTGCAAACATTTTCAAAAACGAATTAAAAATGAAGAAGATACCATATAATACCATCCCGTACCAGGGTGGTATTGTATGGTATTGTGAGGTATTTTTTGGTCCTGTAATTTGTTCACCCAGAAATTTGTAGATCCAGTAGATCATGATGAACTCATCCCTACTGTGCAAACGTTTTCAAAAACGAATTAAAAACGAAGAAGATACCATATGGTATGCAGTTGGTACCGAGAGGCCAGAATTTTTTTTCCTAAAAAAATATTGAAAATTGATCTCATTTTGTAGAGCACGGTGAACTCGTTCCATCTGTGCAAAAAAAATTAAAATTCGAGTTAAAACGAAAAAGATATGAGTCAATTAAGAAAGCTAGTGAAAATAAAAATAGTCTTTAATTCTCCATCCTTAGATCTGGATTTTCTAAATGAAGGGTCCAGATTTGGTTATTGATGGGTGCATAACCCATGGTTATGCACCCTATCTTGAGCCCCAGAAGACAGGGGAGAAGAAAAAGGTCTCCGTGAAAAGAAAAGGAAGGTCTCCGAGAGAGGGGTATGGCAGACACTGGGAGCCACGAAGAGGGTCTCTGTGAAAGAAGAAGAAGAAGAAGAAGACACGGGTAGGGTAGGTTTTTTAATTAATTTTTTCTTTTTTCTTATTAATAATTAAAAAGAAAAAATTATATATTTAATGATTTGCTGATGTGGACGCCAACATGGATGCTGACGTGGCAGTTCTGTTACTAAATCAATGACGATAACAGAGTTGCTAGCCATTTTTTGAGCCGCAACAATAGTTATGGCTAATAATTTGTATTTCGATAATTAAAGCTATAATTACCCGAAACTTAATAGTTGTGGCTAATATATTGTTTTAACCCAAATATATTTGTAATACGCCTTTTAGACATTTGTACTTCATCATTTCAAATTTATTTGAATTCTTGTGCACACCTCTCGTGACCAATAGAAAGTATCACTGTTTTTTTCCCCTTGTTTGGTTTAGGTGGTTTGGTTTGGTTTGGTTTCAGACACTTCTAACCAATCAAACCAAATTAACCTGTTAAGTAATTAGTCATATATCTAATATATATTATATACACATACTTAATACTTTGCATAACCACTCAAGAGTCAAATGTAAGATAATTGTATTTGTTACATGTATTTACGTTAAGGTTTAACTATAATTATGTGAATTGTTATGTGTTATTCATTATATAAATTCCAAATAGATGCACTAACCGAAATTTTTTGTCACTTAATGGTAATGTGATGTTATATTGGTTATTTTGGTTAACCAATTAACCAAACCGATTAAACTTTAGTTTAGTTAATTTAATTTTTGTATTAATTTGAACAATTTGGTTATGATATTGTATTCCATGGTTAATAGAATTTAGCCTTATTTGATTTGGTAATTACCATGGTAACCATGTGAACACCCCTACTTATAGAAAATTACAACATAAATCCTATCGTGGAGTCTGACACGACTATCACATTCGAGATATCCACTTGTGATGTTTGGTTTGGCGACCAAAATCCTACAACATTAGCATGAACATTACGCAAGTCTACCACGTGGTGTTAGACTGGTTTACGAAAGGATAGAGTGTGGATCCTGTGACTAAGGGGGTGCTTAGTTAAGTGACTAAGCCTCTCCTAGCCCTTGGATCTAGATATCCTAATATAATGGTTGGAAAGTGGGAAGGGATATTTAATTAATGAAAAGGGTAGTTGTGGTATTATAAAAAATTGGGTTTTTTTTTCTGCTAATGGGTCACAGCCCACGGCTGCCGCACTCTTTTTTTTTTTTTAATACAATTCAGCTGGCGTTTTTTATTGGAGCTGGCTTTTTCTTTATTAATCACTAATAAGTGATTTTTAAACCTCTCAGCTCCCACAGTCCCACTCATGTGTGTTTTCTTGGTTTCTTCTTTTTTATTAGCTTTTTGATATTTTAAAAATAAAAATCACATAATTTAAAAGTATACAAAGCAATATTAAAAAGTATTAGAACCACATGGTATCATTATACAAATCAAGATAACATTATATACAAAGATTACTAAAAACAGAAAATATCGCTACTAAATATTACAAAGTATACAAACCACAACATAAAAGTATACAAATTAATATTACAAAGTAAACGAATCATTGATCACATCATAAAAGTATACAAATAATGCTAACATTTTATACAAAGCATACTAACCGTACAAAATACTACTTACAATACAAATCAATTATACAAACATATAAATCAGAAGTATACGAATCTTACAAACATGACTAACAAATATGACAAATATGATGAACAAACATTACAAAAGAAACCAACAAACATTACAAACATAACAAAGCTTACAAACGTTACAAAATAAACCGGCAAAACTGTACAAACCATACTAACAATACAAAACATTACTACTTATAATACAAATCGATAAACTAAAATTACAAACCAATAAATACAAAGTATACAAAATAGACAAACAAACATTACAAATTACAATATATAAAAATTAGTCATATAAACATTACTAACATGATAGAGAAAAATGACAAACAATATAAACCGAAAATGATATAAACATTACAAAGCAGGTTGACAAACATCACAAATCTAACACTGTCGTCGAAAAATTCTCATCCACCTCAGGTCGCCGGAAAAATGTGGCTGGAAAAACATAACCATACTCTCTCTCTCCCTCTCTCTCTCAAGCCACTCTTTGGGAAAATATTTTCCCAGGCCCATGGAGGAATATGCGATGCCAGCCAAACACTTGGCCGGCGCCCGACGAAGGAAGGCGGAAGGAATTGGTGACCGTCCCAGCGGAAGGCAGAGGAACACGGGAGGGAGGCAGAATTGTTTTAAAATTTTAAATTGTTAAATAAAATATGAAATTACCACTTTATCCTTCATTAACTTAGATTATTTAGAACCATTAGATGTAAATGAGGTTGGATGGCTGAGATGCACTTAGTCATATGACTAAGGGGATCTCCTTAGTCACCTGATCTTAGCCCCGAAAGGACCTCTATTATCACCCACATTAAGGGTCACAAAACGCTAAAAGATTTTACCAAGCCATTCTTCATAAGGATCCATGCTTTTCACATGGTTGATTGAGGAGGGCTGCTCACAGCAACCCAATTGGTATCGCTGACCGGTAGCACGGTGCTGCCTGTAGGGTAAGTGGGGCTAATGTTGCTTGGGTGAATGACAATCCGATTCGGGAGTCCGATGCTGGACCTGATAAGACCACTGATACCTGAACACGATCCATCATTTGCAGGCATAGCTGAAGGCATGTGAGACGTTGACGGGAGTCTAGGGGTCAGACCATTCTGATGTTGGATGCTTGAATCAGAAGCCACAGCACCACCAGCATGGGTAACTAAAGGAGTGAAAGATGGAGAGGCTGGTGGATGTGAAGCAGGAGGATTTCCAACCACTTTGGTTCTGTCCGCACCAGGGTGTATAACTGAGGGCTCGGTACCTGCTCAGATTGGAACACATGTTATATATTTGTGCCACAAATAAAAATAGTTCATGTGTACAGTTAAAACATGCATATTTCCTTGGAGATTAATAACTCACGCCAAACAAAGTTCCACTGCATACCTGCAATTGCAGTATCGGTATCTGCAATTTTCTCCTTGAGATTGGATACGGATGATGGGCTGACCAGAGGTGGAGATGGAAGTTTTCCAATTGTTTTGCCGCTAAAAGAACCAGGATTGATGGTGGAAGAATCAGCAGCACCTGAATGCATAGTAAGAGAGTAGGTTTATGAGAGTTACCAGTAACACAGATGCACGCCCACCAATATAATGTCCTATTTCACGTCAAGAAATTAATTTCTCTTAACAATGAAGGGTCATTTTGTATTAACAATAGCAAAAGAATAAAAGAGGAAGAAAACATAAGCTATTTTGGCCTCGCATACATTGTTAGATTCTGATGACATGGTGCAATAAAGTTACGGTTCATGAGATAAGCTGCTGGTGCATCAATAGTTTGGTTCATTGCTAACAGAAAATCTAATAAAGAGTGGATCTACCCCATAAACAAGGTGCTTCCAGCACAAAAGCTGATGATACAAAATCAAAGTCTCATATAGCTTTGAAGAAATGTTCTTACTTGTAGGGTCCAGCTTTTCGCTTGGAACAAGAAGTTCAGGCGGGATATTCTTATTAGAATGATTGAGGTGACACAACTCAACCTGAGGAGATGACGAAACAAGTTCTTGCCCTTTGCTAGCAGCAACAGGGTGGAGTTTAGGCTGAAAATTCTGATTTAGATGAGCCAGTTTGCCAAAGTCAACTTTTGGAGTTGGCAAGCCAAGTTCTTGCTCTTGGCTAACATCAACAGGGCCTGCGGCACTTTCACTCGAATTGCCTGATCAAACAGCACATACAATGAGATATTTACATGGAAAAGACACATAGAAAACTCCTTGCAATAACCTAAGGCCCTGTTTACTTTCATTTCTGTTTCCTGTTTTTGAGAAAACAGATGTTGAAAACAGGTGAAAACAACATTTCGTCGTTTCCGAAAACAGCAGGAAGTTGCCACTTTCTGTTTTCATAGTTGGAAACGAATAGAAAACAGAATGAAAAGTAAACAAGTTTTCTCGTTTCGGTTGCCAAATTTATGACATGAAAACAGAAAACAGGAAACGAAGTGAAATAATTCCATAAACAGAAATAATTCCATAAACAGGAGAAATAAGACTGTGGAGAGAAAGAAGTGAACTAACAAAGATATGTTTGCTTGTCTGAAAGCAAACACGAGTTTAACTTCTTGATATGAAGCAACAAACTGTTTACTGACCCATTCACCCTAAACACAAACGACATACATATGTCCAAGTTTCAATCTTAGGTAGCTCAAAGAGTAAACCTAGACCTACACAAAATCGAAAATCTATAGGACAAACCAAACAAGAACATACATAAATACAACGGATAACGGTTGATACCTACACTCTTTAAGATTTGTATAAGCAACATTTGCTGCACTCATCTCTGCCAGTTTCTTAGTTCTTGCTTCTATTCCAGTAAAAACCTGCTGATTTACCTCCACTGTCGAAACAAAAGTAGATGCGTGAACATCACCAGCTCTAGTTGTGACGTAAACGGGAAGAAGAAAACACTTCTTCTGAGCCAATTCTTGCAGCAGGTTCTTGTAACTGATTTCCTCCTGGAACGAGCACCAACAATATATCATAAATAAGTAGGGTGCATTCCAGCATACGGTAATGAGAGACATAAAAATAACCTACTAGGTTGTTTCAAAGCTGACCTCTCCACTACCAGTAGGCAACAATGACGCCAATGCAGCCTTTGCTGCTGAATTTTCAGCATCTTTCAATGTAGGGAAGAATCCCTCGCTCGAGTAGGTTTTTCCCTCAATTGCGACAGTAGACTTGAACCTACAAGCATGGCAAGGACCATCCCGCTCATGAGCATACACTGGCAACGGAAGACTTCTCTTCTGAGCATAGATTTGCAACTGAGTTTTGCACAAATGCTGCATATCTATAGAAGAAGCAGGAAACAAAACCATACGTTTATGTCAAGACTCTTAACGTAAGGTGAGATTTGCTTTCTTGCAAATAATAAACTGAGAAGTCGCCATGCAAAGCAAGTACTATATTTTAAGATCAAACAATCATAAGGAAACAACCAAGTATATCTATAATACCCAAGGATTCACATAGTAGCTACAGAAAATGCTCACGTATATTTTGATCATCAACCATAAATTCGTGGTAGAAGGAGAACAATAGGAAGAAGAAGCCACCTCTGACGGTCTCTGCCGGTTTACCAGCTGCAGGAAATCCGCTTGCCTGTGGAATTTCATCGATAGCTTGTGATCCCTCACCAGAAACAGCTCCATGGCTTGAATCCAAGTCACCTGCATGGAACATAATCCACCGATCACAACGGCGACAGAGATCAAGATGTACAGAATTATGGTAAGCAGCTCACACAAAGTAGAGGCGGAAATAAAATTGAGCTAAAAACCCTAGATTAGAAGTGGAGATTTTTTTTTTTTTTTTTTTTTTGTTACCTGGCGACGGAGAAGCGTCAGCGGAACCGAGTTGTAGCAACGCCACTCTGGCGGCCTCATTTTGTGCCTCCTTTGCGGAATTGGCCGCGACTTCCGATGCAAAAGACGTTCCGTTGACGGTGACGGTGGCGAAGAAGTGCGGACGGTGGTCGGGGCCATCTTTGGTGGCGGAGTAAACCGGGAGCATCCACTTTTTCCGTTGGCAGAAGATCTGAAGGGAGGACTTGTACATATTTTCCCCGTAACACCAGCCGGTTCGTGTAAAAAAAATAAAATAAACTCCGGCAGATAATTGAAGATTGAAGGCCGAGATAGCACAGGAATGGGAAGGCAAAGGGACAGAGAAGCGACGATAGAGATTTCCCAGCGATTTAGGTGATGATTGGCTGATGCGGGTCTTTTCACTTAGGCACAGAGGTGACTCATTCGTTTATTATTCGACTCGAACTTGCTTCCCTCCAGCCCTATTAGCAATAGCATGTTACGAGTGGTTGCTACTTGCTAGTTGCTACTAAGTAGTTTGGACCAAGATTGAAAATGGAATAGTGTAAGGATCGAGCAAGGGATTCTGGCGAGTTTATTGAGATTTTGGAAGAGAAGAGAGTTTACAGCGGAAGAAGAAAAGTCTGAAGTGTTTATCTATCTAACTAATTTGGTAAAGTTGTTACAATAGAGATGATTGGTCAAAAAACTATTCAATAACTCCCTTCTTCTGCTATTTATATCTTCATCCCTGCTCCACGTCACCTTCCAGCTGGAACAGGCTGTTACAAATCCTCTCCCTTCAAATTCAGCTTGTCCTCAAGCTGAAACTAGGCTGGAAAAGCTGGGTATTGCATGCGAAACTCACGCAAATCTTCCCACGTAGCTTCCTCAGGATGTTGATGTGTCCATTGCACTAAGACTTGCGTCAAAGCACGATTGTCGCGATTGATAAACCGTCGAGCCAAAATGTGAGCAGGGGCAAGTTTAAAGGTTCCATTGTTGTCCTGTGTTGGGAGGGGCAAAGCAGCTGGAGGCACAATCGACTTGCAAAGCTTCAGTTGGGAAACATGGAATACAGGATGTACCTTGGACTGAGCTGGTAATGCGAGTTTGTACGCCACCGATCCCACCTTGCTCACAATCTGATATGGCCCAAAAAAACGAGCTTCTAACTTGTTTCCATGTCGCCCCACCACGGACCCCTGACGATAAGGCTGCAACTTGAGATAAACCCAGTCCATAACCTGTAATGTTCTTTCAGAACGGCGGCGGTCAGCGTATTGTTTCTGCCGGTTCTGTGCCCTTGCTATGTTCTCCGTAAGGAAGTGAACGAGCTGCTGCTGCTTCACAACACGATCCTCCACAGCTCCCACCGGAGTAGATAGAGTCGGTCCTAACCCAAAAAGAGCCGGTGGAAACCCATACAAAGCCTCAAAAGGCGTCATCTGCAGACTAAGGTGGTAATGAGTATTATAGCACCATTCCGCCAAAGTAAGCCAGTCCACCCAGTCCTGTGGCCTATGGAATGTCATACAACGCAAGTAATCTTCCAGACATCTATTAACCCTCTCGGTTTGGCCATCTGTCTGTGGGTGGTAGGCCGTGGAGAAGTGTAAATCAGTATGGTGCAGCCTGAAAAACTCTGTCCAGAACTGACTTGTAAATGTGGCATCTCGATCGCAAACAATAGTGGATGGCATACCATGGTATTTAAACACCCCGTCGAAGAAGACTTGAGCAATTTCAGCAGTTGTATAAGGGTGTTTGAGACTGAAAAAATGGGCTGTTTTGGTGAATCGATCCACTACGACTAATAGAACTTGCTTACCTCGAGAAGTAGGCAACCCTTCCACAAAATCCATGCTAATATCACGCCAAGCTCGTACTGGAATGGGAAGTGGCTGTAGTAACCCCGGTGAAGCAAGTGTTTCTGTTTTGCAACGCTGACAAACATCGCACGCAGCTACCCAATTCGCCACTGCAGTCTTCATCCCGCGCCAGTAGAAGTGAGCTTTGAGACGTTGGTAAGTCACCTGTGCACCCGAATGACCTCCTACAGGAGATGAGTGGAACAAATGGAGAAGTTTTCTTCGCATATGCCTGCATTTCCCACAACAATGGACCCCTTGTAACGTAATATTCCAGCCAAGTAAGACCAAAAAGATGGCCCTGTGAGTTGACAGCAGCTGCAGCTATAAGATCTGCCACTTCTGTATCACCAACATATGTGTGTTCAATTTCCCCCAACCATTCAGGTAGAACCATAGAAATAGCCTCACAACTGCCCTGTTCCAAACTATCTTCAAAAACACGAGATAATGCGTCAGCAGCACCATTAAACTTCCCCTTTCTATACCTGATTTGAAAGTCTAACCCCATAAGCTTCACAAGCCCTTTCTTTTGGATAGCCGTATGGACTTTCTGCCCAAGTAAAAACTTCAAACTCTCATGGTCAATTACAATGGTGAACGGTCTTCCTTCCAAATAATGCCTCCAGTGATCCACTGCCATGAGGACAGCCAAATACTCTTTCTCGTACGTGCTGAGCCCTTGGTTACGCACACTGAGAGCCTTGCTAAAATAAGCCAAAGGTCTGCCCCCTTGAGTCAGCACAACTCCTACGCCCGAGCCGCAAGCATCTGTTTCTAAAGTGAATGGAAGAGAGAAGTCAGGTAGAGCTAAGACAGGAGCGTGACACATTGCTGTCTTTAGAATGTCAAAAGTAGTTTCAGCTTCTTAAGACCATTGGAAGCCATTCTTCTTCAACAAATCCGTGAGAGGTCGGCTAATAATGCCATAATGCTTGACGAACTTGCGGTAGTACCCTGTTAAACCCAAGAATCCCCTGAGTTGCTTGACAGTTTGGGGCCTCGGCCAGGACTTCATAGCTGCTACCTTGGTATGGTCTGTTGCCACTCCTTCCCCACTAATAATATGGCCCAAATATTCAACCTTAGGCTGGCCAAAAGAGCACTTAGAAGCTTTAACATAGAGCTGATGTTGGCGAAGCAGCTGCAAAGCAATAGACAGGTGCTGGAAGTGGTCCGCTTCTGACTTACTATAGACCAAAATGTCGTAAAAAAATACCAGAATAAATCTCCTGAGATGCTTGCCGAACACATGATTCATAAGTGTTTGAAAAGTAGTTGGGGCGTTCGTAAGACCAAACGGCATAACCCTGAACTCGTAATGCCCCTGATGTGTGCGAAAAGCAGTTTTAAACTGATCCTCGGGCTGCATCCATATCTAGTGATAACCCGCCCTGAGATCCAACTTCGAAAAAATCATAGCACCATGCAATTCGTCCAATAGATCTTCAATGTGAGGGATGGGGAACTTGTCTTTGATTGTGGCGGCATTTAACTCTCTGTAATGGACACAAAAACGCCAGCTGCCATCCTTCTTACCAATCAGTAGGACAGGAGATGCGTAAGGACTGTGGCTTGGTTGAATGAAGTCAGACTGAAGCATCTCAGCTATCAGTTTTTCAGCAACTTCTTTGTGGTGGTGGGGGAACCTATAAGGACGTATGTTAATGGGTTTTGTGTTGGGTAACAGGGGAATGGAATGGTCAAAAGGGCGTGATGGAGGTAGAGAGGTGGGAGCACTAAACACATCAGCATACTGGTCCAACAATGGTTGCAAGAAAGGAGGAGGCGGAGTAGGAACAAGCACTGGTTCCATGGAAAACACAGCACCAGTCAAGTGTGTAAGAAGCTTTCGAAGCAATTGCTGAAAATTTCTACCATTCATCACCTTACAGTGACCCTCCTTGGTCAATCCCTGCAAGGTTAGAGTGCTGCCCTGCCATTCATACGCAAGTTGTCGCTTCTTCAAGTCCACCTGGAAGGGACTGACAGTCTCCAACTAATCCCACCCCAAAACCAAGTCATGGGCAGGTAAGTCCAAGGTACGCACATCAAAATTGAACTCTTGACCTTGCATTTTCCAAATAAAACCCTTGCACACCGAGTTGCTCAACAATGTATGTCCACTGACAACTTTAACCCTCATAGGAGCTATAGTCTCTGTTCTACAATGAAGTTCTTCAGCCTTAACACTATTCAAGAAGGTGTGGGAACTACCTGTGTCGATGAGGACCGTCACCTCACGATGTCCTGCAGTAGCGGGAATGAGAAGTGAGTTTCCAGAGTAGCCTGTTCCCATAGCCTGCAACGTGACCTCCAGCTCGGCTACCTGGAATTCATCCTCTGATTCGTCCTCTCCTCTAGGCAACAAGGAATTATCAGCTTGCATCAATTGTATCTGTTTCTTGCTAGCACAAATGTAGCCATGAAAATACTTATCGCCACATTTGTAACAGAGACCCTTCCCCCTTGGAATGGGACCGCGATCCTGAGAAGAAGAGGAAGGAGAGTCCTGCGACCACTGTTTGTTCGACGTCGCCGGCGAAGCACTGGGCCAACGAGGGGAAGTGGCCTGGCGAGAGTTGCGTTTCCTAGCGTCAATTGCTTATTCCTCCAGCCGTGCTTGGTAGAAAGCACAAGCAAGCAACGGTGGATTCAACACCTGAACACGAGGCTGAATCTCCCCATCCAATCCACCCAAGAAACTAAGGATGAAGTATTGTTCGTTGAGTTCAGGATTTAGACGAAGCATCTGCGAACGAAGTTCCTCGAATTCCTCCTGATAACGAGCAACCGAACTCGTCTGCCGCAGCTGATTGAAGGCAGCCACCACATTCATCTGCTCTTGATTGCCAAACCGATGGAACAGGTCATCGACGAACTGCCCCCAAATTAAAGGAAAACGACGGAAGGACCACCCCTCGAACCATGTGAAAGCACGACCCTCCAAGTAATAAGAAACCAAATCCACCTTCTGCTCCTCCGGAATTGAATAGAGATGAAAGAGTTTGGTGCACCGGCTTACCCACGCATGAGGCTCACCCATAGACCCTCCTCATGGATATAATGAATTTGTAGATTCAATAGAGAGTAATGTTTTTTCATGTTTTTGTATTGTAGATTTTTCTTCAAACAATTTTTTTAATAACTGATGAACATCCCACGCTGCCACGCATACAGCCTTGAGCGATGCCGGAGCGAGAGCAAACTTGGAGGTTCACCTGCTTGAGTCTTTTGTGCCCTCCACTAAGATCCCCTTTTGGTGCCTCCGGGAACACTACAAGTGGCCTCGAATTGAGTCGAATACATGACCTCACACTTTCCGATCGAGGATCTCTCGAAAGTTTTATCAATTGGGCTATGTGATCTTTGGCATTTTTCTTCAAACATTTCAAGTCTCTGAAATCTGGATATATCAAATATCTACTAATCAAAAGAGATTATATACTTTATTTTTTAGTTCTTTTTCGTCCAACTTTATCTCGTTTTTTCTAATTTTCCCGCTAAATATCCTTACTAATAAATCCTCAATATCTCTTAAGCAACTTGAATTCTTTTGGTTAAGGATAAACATAACATTATATAAAAATAAAAGATTAATTTTCATTGAATGTTGATAATTGCAATTGCTAAATAATGAACATTTTAAAATAAATCCTCAATTTTCATTTTGATTGTTTTGAATCAAGAGAATTAGACTCAAATGTCCGCCCCAATTCTTTATAATTTTTTTGGATTAAAATGCTTTATGTTATTGCAGGGAGGCAGGGAGAAATGTATGTGATACCACTTACCTTTGCTGATTTTGGAGGTGTGTCATTTAAGTTGAATTAGGGCACTACATAACATTGAATTCATATTTTTGTTTTGGGTAAATAAAATATATTAGTCACAACTATTAAGCAGCAGAGAATTATAATCAAAACTATGAAAATATAAACTATTAGTCATAACTATTGTTGCGCGTAAACAAATGGCTAACATTCCGTTACCATTACTAACTTTGCAACGGAAAAGGCCACATCAGCAACCACATCACCTACCACGTCAGATTAATTTTTATTTATAATTTCAAACATAAAAAACCAAAAAAAATAAATTGAAGGGTCAAACCCTACTTTCCCATTATCTTCTTCTTCCCCAGCCACGCACCAGAGGCCGCCGTGGAAGTGAGCGAAGAGGGCGCGGGATGGTGGAAGTTACAACTCTTTGCAAGATGGGATAGATCAGAAATTGAGGAACAGTGTTGTCATGTGGCCTTCAATTTCGATTTATTTCCTGGGCAGGGCAAGGTCTTGGGAACGGAGATGAAGAAGCCCGGATTAATGAAGGAGGTTTTGGTCGGCAAGATGAAGATGGGGATTTGGATAGCTTTAGGTTTGGTCGTTGATGGTGGTATGCGGAAATTGCAGAGATCCTGTAATGGATTAGGGATTTTACGGGGAAGGGGTATGAATATGTCGAAGATTACACGGGAATGAGCCTTTTAGTTTTTGTATTTTTTTCATATTTTAATGTATTTTTATTTTTGTTTTTAGTCCATGTGGATTGGTGGGGACGAAAAGTCGTCAACTAAGTCTATTTCGTTAGTCCAGTCAGACTGTTAATTGACACCGTTAGAGCATTAAACGAAATTGGACATTTTGTGCATTTTGATTTTTTTTTTTGTCACAAACGTGATAGTTGTGGTTATGAAAGTGTATTCTAACACGCTATTTTATGTTAAAGAGTTTGGTCACCTTTCTTATTCTTTTCTTCTACAAGATTTTGAGAATTATTTTCATTGTGTAAAAAATGATGATTTATTTTTTGTATTAAAAAGACTGATATATTAGTTGAGTTGATGGTGAAGACAAAACTGAATATATCATATACATGAGTCTATTTGTTTCTCAAAGGTGTAATGATTTTACCTGTTGCTACTCCAAGTGTTGAGAGAGTTTTTTCAGTTTTGGGTTACACCCATGGTCCATGAAACCGTATCGTACCGGCGGTCCAACCACAAAATACCAGTATCGGAGGCTAAATCGGTAGGCGGTATTTAACGGTACTAACGGTTGAACTACGATTAAACCACGGTTTTGCTATAAAATACCATACCGTTGACTTTTCCGGTACGATTTCATGGACCATGGTTACACCAAGAAAAAGTTTCAAAATTGGATAGGCAATCAATTCGTGAATGATTATCTAGTAAGATATATAGAATGAGATTTATTGAGCACGGTAGGTGTGTGTATTTCACCTTTTTTTTTTCAAAACATAATAAAACATAGTGGACTTTTGTTGTAACTTGTACTAGTCGGATATTTTCTTATTTAATTTTTTAAAGGAGACCCCAATATAAACTTTCTAAGTCCGCAACTGGATTGGGATTGTTAGAGTGGCCAAGAGAATGGGCCTAGCTTTGGATTGTGTCCAAAGGTTTGGTCCGGACTAAACGAAATTCATGAGAACAACGATTAAATAGTTAAGGGTTAATACCTTAGTTTGGCCTGAATTATACACATACTTTCTACTTTGACCTGTGGTATTGAAAATTGCTATTCTGGCCTGAACTATATAGCAAACTTCCTCATTTGACCTGGAGGCGGGTTTGACCGTCAAATTAGACGGTCAAACCTGTTGACCGTTAGTCAATGTCCACCTCACCTGCCACGTCAGCTTTGAGGACATAAAAAATTATTTTTTTATTTATGAATTTTGTTTTCTTTCGATTAATAAAAATAATAAATCACAAAAATTAATTAAAAGAACGAAAAAGGGCTCATGTTTAGCAAATGACAAGAAAACAAAATTCAGAAATAAAAAAATTATTTCTTATGTCCTCAAAGCTGACGTGGCAGGTGAGGTGAGCATTGACTAACGATCAACAAGTTTGACCGTCTGATTTAACGGTCAAACCCGCCTCCGGGCCAAATGAGGAAGTTTGCTACATAGTTCAGGCCAGAATAGAAATTTTCAATAACACGGGCCAAAGTAAAAAGTATGTGTATAGTTCGGGCCAAACTAAGGTATTAACCCAATAGTTAAAGACATATTAGAACCAAGGATTAGACTAACATTGTATTCGGTCTACTTTGATTAATTTTTCTTCAGTATTTATAAAAATCCATCGGACTAAGAATCAATTCATGTTATATCAATTCAGTATGGTCTGATCTAAGCATGGTTTTGGCCCGGTACAGACCAACACGTGCACACCCCTATGTTTAGGGTAGTTCTAACTTCTAAGTTAGACTTTTGGTGGTTCGATTCGGAACATTATTGAAATGAATATAGAGTATTGACCGACACTCTAGTCTCAAAATTTGACATTTTTAGTCTTTTGCAGCACAGAGGAAAGACTTTACAGAGAATAAAATGAGCTAGAATTCTATTTAGCATAGCGTACAGGGAGAATCAATAGGTCTAGCATACTGACACCAAGAGAGACATCAGCACGTGTTGAAGCCTTGGAGCGATACCCCGTCTTCAAAATAAACCCAAGTCCACAGCAAAGGGGAAACATCCTATTAATTTCCATGACATAAAAGGTACACTGCTAGCAATTGACAATTTGACATCTCTTGAAAATGAAATTGGAGGGTACAACAAATTTGAAGGAGCCAGACCAGAACAAAAACAAGAATTTAACAACAAACCCAAAAGAAATAACGGAAAGCAAACTCAACGCCCACTATGGGAACGCATCTGTTTTCTTTTCTCCCTCTACTATACTGGAAAACCACAGTTATTGAGTCCAACAATATTCCCTTCTGTTTTTCTCAGTAAAGAAATATAAAATCCTTTCCCCATTCATCAACAGTTTCCTAAACGAAAAACTCTCATCTTCACTTGGCGCTGCCAAGCTGGGTGCGGAGGGTCTTGGCTGCTGCAACCATGGCCTGGAGAGCCGGCTTCACTTCAGGGTACTTGCGGGTCTTGAGACCACAATCCGGGTTGACCCACAAGATGTTCTTCTCCAGCACTGCAAGCATCTTGTTGATCCTGTCGGCGATTTCTTCAGTTGATGGTATTCTGGGAGAGTGGATGTCGTAGACACCAGGGCCGATTCCAGCACCGTACTTCACTCCCTCACGGAACACAGAGAGGAGCTTCTCGTCAGAGCGAGAGTTCTCAATGGTGATGACATCAGCATCCATGTCTATGATGGAGTGGATGATGTCGTTGAAGTTGGAGTAGCACATGTGGGTATGGATCTGATAGGCATTAGCAGATAATTGTGAGTGAGATCAGTACAAAGGCAGTGGAAGAGAAGAGCCAGCAAATGAGCGTTATAATTTACACACCTGAGTGGTGTCTTGGACGCCAATGTTGGTGATCCTGAAGGAGTGGACAGCCCATTCCAAGTAGAAAGCCTGCTCGGACTTCCTAAGAGGAAGCCCCTCTCTCAAGGCAGCCTCGTCAATTTGGATGACATTGATACCAGCCTTCTCAAGGTCCTCGACTTCATCCTTGATGGCCAAAGCAATCTGGTAGCAGGTCTCGAATCTGCAATATTGCAGAGATCAATCAGTACACACGATCAAACCATCTAGGCAGGGGGGGAAATTACCCATTGCTTTGTTGGTTTTCCCCATTACCTTGGCTGGTCATTTCTGACGAAAGACCAGTTGAGGATGGTGACAGGGCCAGTAAGCATTCCCTTCATTGGGCGAGAAGTCATGCTCTGAGCAGCAGACGACCAGAAGACGGTCATTGGCTTGGGGCGGCTAACATCACCATAGATGATTGGTGGCTTCACACAGCGAGATCCATAGGATTGCACCCATCCATTCACAGTGAAGGCAAAACCTGACAGCTGCTCCCCAAAGTACTCAACCATATCGTTCCTCTACAGAAATAATGAATGAACAGGGTCAGAAACTTGCCTCACAATTCCAAATCAGGCAAAAGCTGACTAAGAATATGCAGAGGAATTTATACTAAACTCACCTCAGGCTCTCCGTGAACCAAAACATCAATGTCAAGCTCCTCTTGTAGTTCGACAACCTTTTTGATTTCCTCCTTGATGGCTTTGATGTATTCCTCTTCCGTAATCCTACAGAAAGCAACAGCAATGTTAAGGACAAAAAAGATATAATGCTTTAAATAGGTAAAAAGAGGAAACAGGAGAATGAATCCACTCACTTCTTAGCTTTGTACTCACGGCGGACCCTCCTGAGTTCAATGGTTTGCGGGAAGGAACCAATGGTGGTGGTTGGAAGGATTGGCAGGTTAAGCTTCTTCTGCTGAGCATCCAACCTAGCACTCACATTTGTGGCTCGGCGGTGCTCAGAACCCTTCAAACCAGCAGCCTGAGATAATGGGAAGAGATACAAATAGATGAGTTCGGCAAAGAATTAAATAAGAGAAGATGTCAAGAAAAGTTTAGAAAGTTAAAAAAAAAACTTACAGCCTTCTGAACAGCCTCATTGTTCACCCTTGGAGATGACTTCCTTGAGGCCTGGGCAGCAGCATTAGCTGAGAAGAATTGCTGTAACCAAAATGATGGAAGTTGCATCAGAATTATAATGCAGATATAATTCATCAGTGTGCACAACTAAGATAGCTGACAATGTAGCACTAAATGTACCTCATCCTTCTGCCCAGCCAAGGCCTTGCCCAAAGCATTCACCTCAACAACCTTCTGAGCAGCAAATGCAAGCCATGACTTGATTTCATCGTCCAACTTGGTCTCATTGACAAGATCAACAGCGGTGTGGAGAAGGGAGCACGAAGTAGACACAACAAGCTTGTCTGTTCCAAAAAAAAGCAATGTACGGATTATATTAGCATATAGTTCAACGACGAAGTCCGGCACTTGATGGAACGTGGATCCAAGCGAATATACCTTTGCCCACAATGCCCTCAAGAGATTCCAAGGTGCTAAGAGAAGAAGCAAGATCATTAGCCCAGATGTTCCTTCCATCAACCACCCCGGCAAACAGATACTTATCCTTGGGGAACTCACTCTTCACCAAGTCAAGGGTCTTGGTTCCACGAACCAAATCAAGACCAAAAGCAGTGACACCCTTCAACGAGGTGAGGGTCTTGAATGCCTCGGCAGGAATATCAGCAAAGTAAGTCTCAACTAGAACATTCAGGCCAGAAAGAGTTGACTCCAAAGCGGAGTAGGCCTCAGTGAATGCCTTCAACTTGTGAGAATCAAGATCCATCACAAGTGTAGGCTCATCGAGCTGAATCCATGATGCACCAGCAGCCTTAAGCTCTGAAATGACTTCCCTGGAGGTAGCCGTTGGGATATGGGTCAGAACTGCTGCTAAACATATCCAGAAACAATAGGAACCTAGGAAGAGCATTGAGTATTACTTGTAAACTGGGAGGATTTTGTCGAGCAGGGAGAGGAGAGAGAATGATTTCTCAACACCCTTGGCAGGCTTGGATAGCAACAAGTAGGAGACTGGACCAACAAGAACTGGAACGGTATCGACTCCAAGCTGAAAATGAAGGACAGAGTCAAGATCACAGAATCCTGAAGAGCATATTCATTGAAGCACTAAAGATAGCAGCTACAAAATTCAGTGATCCAATTTTATTTGCACTTGTACTCTATTGAATTCAACATTTATCTGTTCGAAGCCTTAGTAAGCTCAACATAAAAGGTGGAACAGTATTGACGATTTCCATAACCCTCAAATCATTGCTTTTAGCTACTTTTACAAATTTTACAATTATCAACCGGATCTGCAATTTAATGAAACAAAGCAATGAGTACTGGAAACAGAACAACATACCGCCTTAGCCTCCTTGTATTCATTGACAGCCTTGTGAGAAGCATAAGAGAAGCTGACTTCAGGACCCAACTCAGGGACAATGAAATGGCTGAAACAGAAAATTACGAACTAGTTAGCACATCATTTTATTACAATTTAAAGACAAACTCCAAATCGCGTGTTTAGGTAGCATAATAATGTGATGAACAAGTTCCGGACACTTACTAGTTGGTGTCAAACCACTTGGTCATTTCCATAGCAGGGACAGAGGCATTTCCTCTAGCCATGGAGAAGAACACATCAAAGCCGATCTCACCACCGTTCCACCCATACCTAGGTGGAACAGCACCGAGCATGGCTGTGGTGTCAAGCACCTGGTCATAGTAAGAGAAAGTGTTGCTGGGGATGTACTTGATGCCAGCATCAGACATCTGCTTCCAGATGGATTTTCTGAGATCAGCTGACACCTTCTGCAAATCCTCAGCACTGCTCTTGCCATCCCAGAAGGACTCCAAGGCAAACTTGAGCTCCCTCTTGGGGCCCATACGAGGATATCCAACAATGTGGGACACCATTTCTTTTTATCTGTTCACCATTTCATCGCAATCAAACCAAGAATTCAGCCAAGTTTTAAAAAATCACAACTGGATCTACAAACAAGGGCCAAAATAGAACTGGGTTTACAGTAAATCATCGCAAGATTACATTTTCTCCGACTTAGATATTGCACTAGAGTTATTTAATTCATTACAGAATCAGAAGCACAAGAAAACAAAAGAGGGTCACTCATCAATAATCAACGTTCTGAGATCTAGAAAGTCAGGAGGAAAACAACAAATTGGCCAATACAAGCTTCCATAGATCATAATTAAAACATAGCAGGATCCCAGATCCAATTCCCGCAGCTAAAACGAACGGCCATTCCACTGAATGAAAACGGGAATTCCGCCACCCAAAGCTCTGATGCATGAGCATGAGAGCATCCATGCATAACAGATTCTACACGTTCAGATTCGGAATTCACGGATTTAGAAACCCAGATCTAGCAATCAACACGCGACCACACACCAGATCTACCGCTCACAAAAGCAAAAACAGAGACAATCACTACGACTAGCAAATAACAAAAAAATCGAAATGGAAAGGATCACATCAATGGCGACCGACACTCACCAGATCTCTACGAATATCAAACAAAAAAGAAACTGCATCTAGCCTAATCAGCAAGGAGGGAATTGGATGGAAGGGAGAGTCGGATCAGGGTAAGAAAGCAAGTGGAAAGGAGGAAGAAAAGCAGGGGAGGGGGTAAATACATATACAAACAGAGATTGACGACGACGGGAAGGGAAATTAGACCAAGGAACGGAAGCGTACCTTACGGAGAAGGAAGCGGGGAGAAGATGGGTACCGAGTAAGGAACGGGTTCTCTTCCTTCAGAGTGAAAATACAAAGAGGGATTGTAGAGCAGAACACGAGAATGGCGACTATCGTCTCGAGATATTTATAGAGGCGATGGGAAGGGAAAGGAATAACTAATCAGTGAAGGACTGAAGAAAATGGCGAAAAAGAAAATTGGAAAATTAAATTCAATTTGAGGGAGTAGGCAGAGATCCAGCCAGCCACTGCAGTGCAAGTAGCGTCTCGCGGTAGATCTGAGATTTGGGATTTTTCTGTTTTTTTCATCCTTTTCTGTTATTTTCTCTTGCCGAGTTTGGTTGGCGAGTGAGTCACGCGCGTCGCGTTGGCCCGTGGTAAGTATTTTGCGGTTGGTGTGCGGGTTCTGGGTCGCTGTTTGATACTTATTATTGGTTAATAATTAATAATATTAAGGTAAATTTTGGGGAAATTCTTTTTTAATGAAACGGTGATTTTCGTTGTTTTTTTTTTCCCAAGCGTTATTTGTGTTATTGCAGAGGGAAAAAGTTCATATTTGTTGGCCTCAAGGTGCAGTAAAATTTTGGAGGAGAAAATGAAATAATTTTGTTTAATGGTTAATATTTTTGTATGGCCTGAACTTTGATCAAAATAAACATCCTGGCCAATATTTTCGATTTATAACATCCTGGCCCGAACTATACATCAAAATAAACAATTTGGTCATATCTGACTTTTGACCGTTAACTTGGACGGTCAACGCGCCATGTCACTGCCGACTCAGCAAGTTTCAATTAATTTTTTTTAAAAATTTACACATATTTTCATTTTCTTTCCTTAATCATTTTGAAAGAAAAAAAATTCAATTTCGAGAATATCCCCCAACAGACCCCCTGTGATTGTTCCCGTCGGAGGAGCTTCTCTCCGCCGCCAGTGTCCTGGCCGCCAAGATATCCTCTTCGATCTGCTCTTCCATCAGCAGAAGCGAGAATTTCCTCTTCTCCTTTTCTTTCTCTTTCTCCTCTCTCTACTCCAGCTTCTTATGCTTCTCGTCCGCTATTTCATATCTTGGAAAGGCGGTCGTGGGAGAAGATTTTCGGTGGGGCAACTCGAATCCAGCGACTTCTTGCGGCGGAGAGGAGAAATCGCGGTGACAGTTGGGCGCGAATTTTTCGACAACGACAGTGGAAGTGGTCCTAATTTGTCGGGATAGAGAGGGGTAATTCGGAGCGATTTTGCCGACAGTGAGGTCGAGATGGCGGCCGACGCCGAGGCGCACCACAACATTGGATGGAGCTGGAGCCGTGCCGACGTGCGAATCATCCTTCAATCCAGTTATGGTGGTTGTGCCTGGAGGGAGCTTGTAGCGTAAGGCAGATTTCGGAGGAGGTTGAGGGGGAGACGAGGCCGGACGGCTTCGGAGGGAACGGCGGCGGGGGAGAGATCATGGGCCAGTTGACCGGGGGGGTCTGTTGGGGGATATTCCCGAATTATTTTTTTCGTTCAAAATGATTAAGGAAAGAAAATGGAAATAAGTGTAAATTTAAAAAAAAAAATTAATTGAAACTTGCTGAGTTGGCAGTGACATGGCTCGTTGACCGTTAGTCAACACGTTTGACCGTCCAAGTTAATGGTCAAAAGTCGGATCTGGCCAAATTGTTTATTTTGATGTATAGTTCGGGCTAGGATGTTATAGATCGAAAAGATTGGCCAAGATGTTTATTTTGGTCAAAGTTCAGGCCATACGAAAATATTAACCCTTTTTTAAAGCAAATTGAATTATTTTTCATAACTGGTAGTTGCTGGCCTATGGGTGTACCATTACTCCGCTTTGGTTTGTTATCTAACCACACAAGATTTTGAGTTAAGAAACTAAAGTAACTAAATTACTCTAACAAATACACTAACTAATAACAAGTTGGGTGCTTACTTAGGCAATGAATTCCTCTAGCCATTAATCGGATCAATGATTGACGACCAGCAGCGGATCCAGAATAGAGTAGAGCACTGGGCCACATTTGAAAAGAGGCGGAGAGGACTCGGTCGTAACCCCACAAACACTGAAACGAATATCTAAAATCGAAAATTTACAAGGGCTATACTAACTCAGGATCCAGGGGAGGATTGGGTTGTGGCCCGTGGCGGCCCCCTGGATTCGCCGCTGTTGATGATCCTCTAACTTGATTCATTCTTCATTCATAATGCGAATAGTCCTTGACTAGACCTTAAATCTCAATTCGAGCAATCAAGACCCTCTTGAGTCGGTTGTTTAGAGGGTCATAACCTTCTTTAAAACAACCGATCAAGGCATTCGACACTAGATCCCTCTAATGGGTGAGGTTCTCACTCACTACAAAGCAATGAATCAAATCACTCTCATGTTACGAGGTCAACCGGAGACAAGAAATCTCCCATCCACCTTGATGAAAATCACAATCTCGAGTTAGGACATTGTCAACTAGTGGAGCTAAGACAAGTGACTTGTGAATGAAGGGACTCTCAAAAACTTTGAAACCACAGACTAGTTTTGGGTGCTCCTACATAAAAGAGCTCGAACTTTCGAGCCTCAATTTAGACTTGCCGCACATTGCAGCACACTTTGCAAATTCAAGAGCCCTATGCAATTAAGCAATATCTCATGGCTAGAGCAGAAACGACATCCACTTCTCTATCTAGCCCATGTGGGGGAAGGAGGTGTAAAGTGAGGATGGAATGTATTAGAAAAAGGTTATGATGCATGATCCTAGTTCCTAGACTCACTTTACAGAAGATTCCCCAAAGTGCACCCTCATCATTATGGTCGATCTATGGTGATCGGCCTAAGTTAATGACGGGTTGTCACACAAGTGAGATTTCAAAATTTGAGGTCTCCCGACTTGAGCTAAAGCAACGGTCTCGCCTCTTTGAAGTCACGTGAGAGGAGGAGAGGTGTAAATGAGGATGGAGGGTAGTAGGTGAAAGTTCTGAAACAAAATCCTTATCTCCTTTACACATCCTCAAAGCGCAAACCGATTTTAGATGAACCCGTCGACGAATTTACTAAGTACTTCGTCTGGTTGCCACAACACGTGAATGAACAGTGAATCAAGTTAGAGAATCATTAATCATTAATCAGACTAGTGGCTAGGGGGATTCAGTACCCGAGTGAGTTCCCAACCTGTAATTAATCTAACCTTAGTTTAGTTGTTTACTCTGAATATGTTCAGGCTAGATAATAAACCAAAGCCGAGTAATAGTAAATTTAGGGACCCACGAATTCGATATTTTATTACTTTTGCTACTATACTGAGATCATGTCTTTATTACATTTGAAATTGTCAGGAGTGTAGTTTTAGCGAGTCACAATACTACAACCGAGACGTATTTTGAAATTTATTTTATTTTATGAAAATATCCAATATGAATAGTAAATTCTAATATTCACAATTAATGCATCTTTTCTATGCGGAAGTTTTTTCAAGTTAAAACATAAGATCAGGAAACTGACAAAGTAGTTTTATCTCTCCTCTGTATCCGTGTCAGGCTGTCGGTACATAAAAAACACAGGGGTGCGGATTTACCCAGTTCACTCGTCCTACTTTCATTTGAGAGGTACTAATTAAAGCCCTAATTTTTTAAATTTATCGCCCTAACTTAAATTAGTTGACGTTTTTACCCCTAAAATATTCTTAATCTCTAACCAAATAAAAAAAACCATTTCCAACGTTTTTAATCTCGCCCTAACCATCAAACAATTTCCAGCATTTTTAATCTCGCCCCATCGCCGGCGAACAAGTCCTCACCCGTCGCCGTTCACCCTGGAAGTCCTCGCCGTTCGCCCGCAATTGACTTGAGGTCGATGACCAGTCTTCGCCCTCCTTCCTCGTCAACAGCGACGATCCGTCTTCTTCCTACTCCATCCTCGATCGCGAAGAATCTCGGCGCGGAGGTTCTTTCTTCCTCCTTAGTAAACCATCGACTGGCAGAGGCTGCCAGCGGGGGCGGGATTTGTTTTCCTCTCCTACGTCCTTGATCGGCGGAGTGGCAGGCCTGGCAGTGGAGACAGGGCGGACCGAGAAGCATAGCAGCCGTGCGAGATTGGCGAAGGCCGTCGTCAACCGAGCAGCAGAGCAGCCGCGCGAGATTCGTCAGCCGCCGGTGAATTTCAAGAGCCGGATTTCCTTCCTCCGAAGAATTAGGGATTAGGGCGATGAGTTGGAGGCGATCGTTAGGAGTTGGGGGTAATGTCGTCTATTTGGTTAATTTAGGGCGAAAAAATTGAAAAGTTAGGACGTTAAATAGGAATCCAGCTTTATTTTTGTTGGAAATTAATTTGGACCATTAAATGATAAATGGGATGGACAACAGATGATGAGATTTCTTAGTTATTGTAGGATATAATTTTGTGTGGTACTATAAATCCAATGAAATAGGTATGTTTTTTGGTGAACATATACCAATAGTTTTGGTTATTAGCCTGAGTCTCTGTACTATACGTAACAAAACCCATGATTAGTAAGGTTTTTAGTTTTTACATTTGAAGGAAAAAACCTTTGACTTCATTTATATCTTCGTTGAATGAGAAAACATATTACCTTTTTTTATGAACATAAGTTTCCTTTATACTCTGTTTGGGAAGAGGGTAAATGGGAGGGGTGCAAATGTGAGGGGTAAACACAGTTTTCAACACATTTGCACCTGTTTAATTAATTTGGAACAGTAGGGATGCAAAACAGGAGTGCAAATTTACTGTTTCGGCTTACCCCCAAATTGGGGTGCAAGGGAAGGAAGGAACTATGGTTTGGTCTGGACCGTATCGTATGGTTTGGTCTGGACCGTGAGACCAGAACTATGGTCTGGTCTGGTTTGCGGTCTCCTCCTTTAGTGCGTGGTCTGAAGTGGTCTGGACCGCGGTCTACCGCAGTAAACCGTAACAGACCGCGACACTCTACCTACTACCTTGGACAAAAATAACACTAAATTGAACCTTCATATGTGTATTTGAAGAACAAAGTTAGTTGATTTTTCATCTAGTTGAGAGCCAACAAATTGCAAAATGATCGCTTATATGTTATCTCCTTATCAAAGTACCACACAAAAATCAGAAAGACTCATAAATAATAGGGTTAAAATTTTCGTATGGCCTGAAATTTGACCAAAATAAACATCCTGGCCAATTTTTTCGATCTATAACATCCTGGCCCGAACTATACACCAAAATAAACAATTTGGCCAGATCTGACTTTTGACCGTTAACTTGGATGGTCAAACGCGTTGACCGTTAGTCAACGCGCCATGTCACTGCCAAGTCAACATAAAATATTTAAAATAATTCACAATTTCCACACATT